GGGGGGGGGGGGGGGCGCACTCCAGATCGTCAAACACGCGCGTTACTTCTCTAGGGATTATCGCCTTCCCTTTGCGGCTCGTACAGGGCACCACGAGGGCCCCGATGTCCCAGTCCTCGAAAGTGTCTACAGTCCACACGGCGGGAATCGCCATAGGCGACTGTTTATCTGATTCGAGGCACGCGCACGTCGATGGACACTGATACTCATTAGTCCTGAAATGAAGATTACTATTAGTGAAAGTGGACTACCAGTGGTTGATCACACCGTGCCTTGACGTACAAGTCGTTGTCGACGGGCGACCGGGGAGAGCTGATCATGTTGTCTATGTTTACGGCGACAGTTCCCGGGCAGTTGTAATATCCTTGCGTGGTAGCATGAGAAGCGGTGGTAGAAAACGTGGACCGGTTTGTGTTGGGAGTGAACGCAGGAGTGGCGATCGGGTCGTCCTCGTCTCTGAAGTTCAGAGGAGTGACTGCGGCAGGACTTTCACAAGCATCCGTCTCGTCGTAATTTTCCAGAGAGTACTCCCCGAGACTAGCCACCGAGTTGACCAGCAGTCTCTGTATTAAATGATACGCGCATCTGTTGCTGACTTTGCGACTCTGCTCCCCCTTCCTAATGTGAGTCTCACAGGCCGTGCACTTAAGGAAAGGACATTTTGCTTTCGGCTGACTCACAAAAGACTGACCTCCCAGGGCCATGGTCGGGCCGGCCGACGTGTGGCTGGCTGAGGCTTGGCCTGGCGGGGCTTGTCCCGCTTGGTTGGTGGTTTGATTCCCCACACGGTTGGTAGCGGGACTGAAAGAATGCTGGGGTGGTCCCTCGGGTAGAGTGGATAGTCTGTTGACCCCGATGATGTAGGGTACTGGAGACTCCATCATGTCGACCGCTTTGACGGTTGAAGGCAGCACGGGTATCCAGGTGTGGAGCCACTGGTAAGGATGGACCAAGTCGTTGAGTAGGTTGGAGACTGCACCGCGTGTAAAGACGGAGCCTGAGCTGACGACGAACTTGGCCTCGAGCAGCATGCAGATATGGACCCAGCCGAGGAGCGGACTCGGGATCGTTGAGGCGAGTAGGTTGGTGTAAAGGACCTCGCAGTTGTGCAGAATCGCCTCGTGCTGGGAGAAGACGCCCCGGCAGTACTCACTGACGTAAGGGGTCCATTGCGTGGTGTCCAGCAAGCTTCGCGCACGCTGCTTCTGCTCAGCAGATCCCGGTTGCATGTAGTTGTCAATGTACGCGATACTGGCCCTGTCGTCCCCGTGGTGGAGGATGACTAATAGGGCGCGCGAGCTCTGCGTTATCTGCAGAGGCAATACCGCCGGTTGCCACCCGGCCACCACCTCAACGTAGTCCTTGAGCTTCAGCAATTTGGCCTTCGTGATCTGACCTGACAGAAATTCCTGCAGCCGGGTCAACCGTAATCCGCTCGTGGTGCGCCGCGCCCATGGAAGCACAGTTACTCCCAACTTCTCCAACGTCTCACTAAGGCCACCCGCAGGCTTCGCTGCAGCTTCAGACGTACTCGACGCCAGACTCCGACCGCCTTCGCTACGACCCCCTCCACCGCCATCCGTCCGGCGACTCAGATCTCGAAACAACTGAAGCACCTCCTCCGACCAACGGTGTCTAGGAGTCTCGGTTACCAATACATAATAATAATACGTCGACCATTGAACCTGTTTCTCCGTCTGGAAAAACAACTCTGCATAATATCCAACGCTTACCACTTGATTCTTGGACATCAGGCTCAGCTGACTTGACAACCATGTCCCTATCTTCAACAAAACATTCAATTCAAATATTTACACTCACCTTCTCTTTTGATTTACTCAACATCGGCACCATCAACGCCTCCAGATCCAACAAGTGCGGGATTAAAATACTAGTCTCAATCGTCTCCACAAACCTCACAGCCGTGCACCATAAAACCCGGTCCACGGCCCCACCTGTTGCTGTAGATCGAACGTTGAAATACATTGTCGTCCCACTTTTATCAAGACTCTCCGAGGCAACACTAGCGAAACCTAAAGCACCAACGTACAATACGAGCCCCCACGCTATTCACCACCGAAGTCGAGGATACTCCCCGACCATGTATTTGATCCAGAAAGGTTATGTTACCGTCGGGGAAACAGAAGTCGCAAATCGCACTTTCCAACGTAGTGCCGTACCGAACAATGTCTTCCTCATCACGACTTCCTGCACCTGGAAACGACAACAGCGTCTCCGGCCTCATCTTCGTTCTCCGCAGGCCATTCTCAAACACAGACCCGTCGTAGGGGGCGGTTCTAACTATGCGGGACGGCGGGATCCCGACTACAAAAAATGCCTTGTACGCTCCCATTAGAAATAAACAGATCCACCATCACCCAGCCCGTGGTCACAAAAAGCCTTAAAGTCAGTTGTTGCAGTCAAAATTCTTTATTCATCTCAGTACAGGAAGTTTCCGTTGTGACCGCCGTGACCAGAATGCTTCACCTTAGCTTCAGTGCATTCCTTACCCACACATGTCACCTGGGTCGAGTAAGTAATGGTCGGTTCCACATATTGTGTCTGCACGCACTGCTGGTTGTGGTGCTTGTGCTTCGTGTACCCAGGCGTCGAACAGATCCAGTCGGCCTGTCGCACAGCCTGGCAAAGATCGCCCTGCAAGGAAAAGCCACCAGGACATTGGTAATGAACCGGAGTCTCTTCTGTTGCGCAGCAGTCACTGGACACCTTCTTCTTGCCAGTGGCACAAGGTGAGTATCCTCCAGGACAGGTTGCTGTGGGTGCCGCAGTCTGAAGATTCACTGCTGGCGAAATCGGTACCATGGACTGCTGCTCAGCATACACGCACTCGCGCCCGACCAGCGTGCCTTTCGGACACGACACCAGCGGGTTGACGGATACCCTGCGTTCGCACTTCTGCTGCACGACGGAAATCTGTTCCTGTGGATAAACGTTTGTCACTCCTTTGAGTTTCTTAAGTTCTCGCTCAACAGCACTTTCATCGAATTCAAAGCCAAGATCGAATTCCTCGTAGTCTTCTGCCAGCACGCGTTTGTGTCCGTGCGTTTCGTGTTTATGTACATACGCAGGGCCTGTGGTACAGTCATAGATTTCGCTGTGAATGCAGCTTAATCCTTGAGCGAGCGTACCCTCTGGGCACTGGATATTCGCCACGACCCGGTGTTCCGAAACGCAGATATCTCCCTGCTGAATCGTCCCCCCAGGGCATCCCCACTGTGCGACCGTTTCAGTCTTTGTGCACACGCCGCCTGCCTTTTTGTGGCCCGGTTCAAAAGCGTAACCCATGGGGCATGATAAGGTGGCGGCAGCCGTCCTGGTGCGCGAGCAGCCATTCCCGATAGCGACATAGTCCGCAGGGCAAATTTTCAACGGGCCTTGGATGATCAAGCAGGTGTTGTCGGGCTGGAGGACTCCTTCCTGACAAGTTGCTATCTGGGGCTGAATTAATTGTTTGGCGCATCGATTTCCTTCTTGTGTATATCCTTCAGGACATGATATAATCGGCATCCCAGCCGCGACGGCAGAGGTATAGCTCCCCTTCTTGTCTAATTTATTTGCTGAGACAGCGGCGGCCACGGCTAAAAGTGTTCTCATTCTATCCTATTTTGATCCTTGATTCCGCGCGCGCGTGTTTGTAGCGCAATCGAACACGAAATCAATTAAATGTCGTTCCTAAATTCAGAACTCAATCAGCGTGTGCCTGGCCAAGCAGTAAACAGTGCAGGTCAACAGCAGGTAAATTAGCGTCACCGCCGTACATTTAACTGGACGCAGCAATTACTATTAGTAGAAGAAAACGAAGTTGCGGAAAATGATTGTAGTAGGTTAGTTCAAGAGTCTATTAGGGTGGCGGCCCAGACAAATAGTCTGGCCCAGACGACCGTTGAGGAATTGAAGTCGCAAACAGGTGAGATGCATGAAAATCGACATTACGTGTTCTTTAGACCAAATACACCGAATTCATCGCGATGCTGCAAGAACATCAGATAATCTGGCAACGACAGAATATCTGATTGAGGGCATGTCTAGTTGGTGGTCTGCTTTGAAGCAAGTATTTGTCCCCCCACCGAAGGCCACGGACCATAAAATTGGTCGGAACGCGCCAAAGCTAATGGAGGGCGCGGGCGCCGTGCCGAGACAGGCGGCGGCGTTGCCAGCGAAAGACGGGAAATCTTCCGTGGATTCAAACATTGGGGAGTTGGCAAATATCGTAAGTACGGCGATGAATGATATTTGCCTTTCAGTTGGACGAAATGAAATCTCGCGCGATCGAAGCAAATCGTGAGTTGACATATCAAAATGGCGAGGTAATACATCCGCGACTTTCGTTACTGCATAACATACTTCTTGATACGACGAGGTATACGACGCTCTTTTGTAGTTGGTTGAAGTCCAGGACGTCATGGAGTCGAACGAGTCCAAGATCGCGCGGCAAAGACGAGATCTTGATTTCTTGTAGACAACTTATTTTTTAAACCGAAAATGGCTGGAGGAGCCAAGACGAACATTACTTATGGCAAGGCTGGTCCTGGTGCTGACTTGCGTATATTTGTGGAGAAGAGGCTGCTGTTAACGCTGAACAACAACCGAAAGGTTGTTGGCCAACTCAGAGGATATGACGTCTTTATGAATATAGTTCTGGACAACTGCGTGGAGCTGCGGAAGAATGAAGTGCAGCGTCCCATGGGGACGACGGTGATACGAGGCAACGCCATCCAATCGTGGGAATGTTTAGATAGAATAGAGCAGCGTATGTAAAAACTACTGGTGCCTGTATATTCATTCCTGGGAGACTCCTCCTGAGCCAAAGCCGTCTGCATCGGTTGCTTAGCTCACTACGACGGCATCTAGTCTTCGAGTAAAGCCCATCACCGCCGGTCTATGCGGCCATTCGAAGATTCCGACTCAAGTGTGCGCTCCCACAGGAAGGTGCTGTTTTTGATACGCGAATACAGATTCTCAACATACACATCGAATGACTCTATCGCGCTGGGCGGCAGAAGGTCGTCCATGTCTTCTGATAGCCATTGCGTGGCACAGATTTGTCGGTGCTCGATTTCGCGCCGGTCCGGCAGGCGGCACAACCAGTAGATGATAAACTTCAACTCGAAACCGAGGGTGTAGCGGAAAATAGCGCCGCAAATTTGTCGCAGTCTGCTCACCGGGGCTTGCGTCTCCCCACTCTGGAGCCGAGCGTTGACAGAGGCTCGAGTTATCTTGGGCGAACAACCAATCAGGGAACTGCCAGCGGGACCACCGGCCAGGGAACCGGATTCGACGGGCCGGTCGGTCCCTCTTACGTCAGCTGCTCGTATGTCTGCTGGTCGACTGTCGTCTGCTGCTCGTGACTCTGCCCCGCGAAGGGCTTCCGCCTCAGATTGTGAAGGACGGCGTAGCGGGTCGTCGCTGCGACCTTCCGCCTCTCCAGAAGACCCTTGGCTTGCTATTTGGGGTAGCCAGCGTCTGGCCTGGTGGAAGGCGTCGCTGAATTTGGCGTTGAACTCTTCTCTTCTTTTTGGCGTAGCGCCCAAGAAAGTGTCGAGCCAGTCCGTTTTCCCGGTGCCGGGGTTCTGCTCAGCGGTCGTAGCCGGTGCTGGGACGGACTTGGTGCCTCCCAGTTTGCTTAAGCCCATGCGAGACGGCGGACAGGGGTTGGCCTTTTGCGACCCGGCCGTGACTCGGCCGGACTTGCCTCGGTTGATAGCCTTTTCATTGAGTTCGATTATCCGTTTGGTGCGTTCCGGCCAGGACATAAGCCCGGAGCTGTACATGAGGTCCCAGGCATCCACGCACACACGTCCGACCATGTGCGATCCGACCATCGCGTCAGACACGTTCAGGAGAACCTGGTCGAGCTTACGATGCAGCTTGTAGTCCTTGATGAAGCGAGAATCCAGCAGCAACAGCAAGCTGAAAAGGGGCGCGAAAATAAACATCGTTCGCAACACCCACGCAGGAAGTAGCGACAGCAGCCAAATAGTAATGGTTGCCTGCACTGCAAGAACGCCGATGACAATGTACGTCAGTCGCGACAGCAGGGGATCTGTCCAGTTGAGAGCCAACTGTATCTTCTCAATGAAACACGCATTAATGGCGAACATGAACTGCACCGCTTCCAGCACAACTATGGCCAGATGGCGCATCTTAAAGACGTCCACTGGTGGACAGTCGTCACTAAACACGGGAAACACTCGCTCATTATTTGTTGGGTCGTATACACTCACATCCATTCGCCCGAAGATGGATCCAATCGAACTCTCGTAGAAAGGGTTTCCTGGGTAAATCAGCGAGGGGTACATCACGGCATTTGCCCCAGACTGTGGTGGCTCCTGTGATGCCTGGTTACTACCTGCGCCGCCCAGGCCACCCAGGCTGGCAATGGCCGAGGCCGCCGCTCCCGTGGGGGGACTTGCCGCAGCTGGCTCACACAACGCTGCAATATTGTACCCCTCTTGTTTGAACTGTTCCGAAACTAGTTCTCGCGGACACCGTAGGGACAGTGCGTAGTCATTCATCCACCTCGAAACGTTCTTGTTACGGCTGCTCCGAATACCTATCGCGTGCGGAATCCAGTTTTCAGGACATACGCGCTTCTTCTCTCCGGTGTACTTGCGCCGTGACTTTTCCGGATGCACCGACCGAAACTGACAACCAGTCGCGCGGATGTCCCGTAACGACCAGTACGGCATGGACAGTAGGATCATTACCGAAAAAATACTGACTGGCAGCAGCGCAACTGGCATTAGTGAGGTAACCAACCAGATAGAAACCCAGCTCACCACGGGAAAGAGGACCTGAATGTAGCTTGACATGCCTTGGAGCACCACGTCTTCCTCATCATTCTCGTCCTCAACCTGGGATCTCCGGCTTTCTGCGTTTTTGTTAAATTTGGACACGCGTGCGCACACAAAATCATACAGCTTTATGTATACGGATTTGTACAGATGTCTGTATACGTGCTTGTAGGGCATGAGGCAGTGGATCCAGAGGGGCAGTTGGGTGGATGCCCAGTGCAGTCTCGAGCCGGAGGTCTCAAAAGCCTGCACATCGAGCGTGGTGGGCAAGGTCCAGATGGAAGCAGGTTTGTTTTGGTTGCACATATAGGCGAGCATGTACCCTTTGTAGCGTAGTTTCAGTTGAACGGCGATGCGGACACAGCCGAGGGAGAATTTCGGGCTGAGCATGCCAACTCCAGGGTAGCCGGCCATTGGTCTGGGGTATTTGTGTTCGTCGCGTTGTTGTCCGACAGGGTAGACGTGCAGCCAGCCGGCGAGGTTGTATCTCGACTTTTCGAGTCTCCGTTCACCGTAGCGCCGGACTGTTCTCTTATCGTTATCTTCGCCGTTATCTTCGTTGTTATCTTCGACGACCATATAACTCGGTGAAGAAGGGTTAGGCGAAAAGAGGTCCTTGTCGCCGGTGTCCAGGCGTATCCGACGCCGCAAGGTAGACGGACTGCCCTCAGAGGCCTTCCACCGGAAGTCCGTGCTCTGTGCATGCATCTCCGCACCGCCCCTCGGGTCGCTCCGCCGGCGCAGGTCGGATCGCCGCTTTTGTTGCCTTTGCTTCCGCTTGCTGTAAGCCATCACACTGGGAATTGGAACGATAACATGGCCGTATAGCCTCCAGTCTGTCGAAATTTCCGTCTCACTCGCTTCGCCCTGGGCATCGGGGAGCAAGTCGCCGCTTCGACTCAAATCGTAACCGGTGCGCGACAAAAAGTCTGCGCTTCTCCTCAGATCGCCGCTGCCGCTGTTCGCGCGGTCGTGACGAGTACCGAAAATGATTTCCGTCACTGCACGCTCCTCACCGACCTCCGGAGGCGCAATACGGTAGTAAAACTCTACCACCACATCCGAACACAGGTCGTACAACGGACACTCAAACGATAAGTCGGTACTGCCAGTGGCACTGACACCACCAGCACTGACACCACCACCACTAGCGTGTTCCGCCCCTCCGTTGCCTTCTCCGCCTCCCCCTCTTCTTTCATCGGCCGCCTGCCAGACGATCCGCACTGGAGACCCCTTGTCCATGGCGAAGGCGGCCACCGGGGAGACCCAGGTCCGGCCCTGTGTGCGAACCACGTATTGCCAACGGAAACGTTCTGGCGGTCGACTCTGTCCCCAGTGCTTCCACGACGCGGCCATGAAGGCGGCGGCCTGGTCACAGCGCACGCGGATCGTACCCACTGGACTCGGTGCGTCCTCACCCAAGTCTGTCACCAACCGACTCAGGATGCCCACCTCTTCAAATGGCACATGAGGATTCACTCTCGGAAATACCTTCGTCGTCAACAAACGCAAGATCGTCTTCATCGCTGACCACTAAAACACACACCTCTACACACCTTTACACACCTTCCCACACACATGCTTACCTGCTGCATGTCTTGCAATTGACCTATGCCTTTGTCTTGGTTCGCAATGACCGACTCAAGCACCTGCTCCACAAAGTCTGCAACACTCACTCACTATTACCCACTCCACCCATGCTTCCGCTGTCATCTCCGCCCGAGCCCATGTCTTCCTCCCAGACCCAAGTGGCCTGCTTACTTTCACCCAGTCTCTGCGCTCCTTCTCGCCATGCTTCCAACTGACTGTGTATCATTAAAAAACGGACGCTGGGTGCCGCACGCCTCCACTGCCGACCTCAGCAGCTCCGCCCACTCCTTATGGGAGCCGGCAGTCTCGGGAGCTGCAAGACTGTTTTGTGAGTCGGTGCCAGACAAAAAGACTAAGTGAGCATCTTCCGCCTGAAAGAGTCTTCTTGCTGGGGCCAGTCATCCGGACTGGCAGTCATCCACCTGTCCCCGAACTGGTTGCATTGGTCGCCATCGTCTAGTCCTATGGTACCTCCCGCCTGGTCCCTCCCGCCTGGTCCCTCCCGCCTGGTCCCTCGCCTTGTCGTTCTGCGTTTGGGTCTGCCCGTCCGGGGTCCCTCGGAGGTTCTTTCTGGGTAACGTCTTCTGGGTAATGTCCCCCGTGTGGACTCTCCCCGAGTAATGCTCCCAAGTAACTCCACGTGTGGTAAGCAGCCATGTGTAGTAAGTATGCCTATAGGATCAGCCTCTGGAATTGAACCCTCCTCGGCGTCGGAAGAACTTGGCGGCTTCTCCGGCTTCATTGATGAGTTGGACCGCGTGCCTGGGCACTCGGACTTCCGCGCCTACTGCGGAGACAAGTACGACGGCTTCATGACCCTGAATGCCTCGCAGTTCTCCCTGTAGGCCTTTATGTGGGCCGGAAATGAGTTTGACTTGAGTGCCCATAATTGCGAATTGTGTGCGAAAGCCGATCTGACCGCGGGGTCTGGAGGATTGTGCGGAATGATTACCGGTAGTAGCGGTGGGTTGTTCGGCATGTTGCTCCCTGCGTACGGAGGCGCAGGACACGGCTACTAGTCCGGTGGGTACTTGTACGAAGGCGGTGTCTTTCCATATGTATTTGACGTTACCGACGGAGCCACTTTGAGGTCCTTCGAGTATTTCGACGGCGCTTCCAACGCCGAATTCGTTGTTGTTGGCGTCCTGTTCTTTGGCTGCACGTACGTGGTGTTTGCCTGAGAGCTGGCTGAGTTCTAACTGCTCCACACCGTCTTTGGTTAACACGTCCAGTCGCCGCGCCTTGGAGATTTTGGTGATCACGCCGGCTTGTGCGGAACCCGCGATGAGCACGAAATCACCCACTGCATAACCGTCTAGACGGGTGAGACCGACCGCGGAACGAACCTCTTGTGCGGCGACAGTCAATTGCGCAATGTCCACGGCGATTTGTCGGTGGCTTTCTGTACTTAGTACATGCACACTATGTCCGTCCAACTTGGTCACCAGGCCCGTCTCACCCGCGTAAGGACCACCGACGACTCGTACGCTATCACCGAGTGCAAAATCTTTACGACAATGTTCCACTTGAACACTGACGACCTCGCTGCCGCCGGTACTGATCTTCAGTTCGCCACCCACATCCCGACCGACCACGGTACCGGATAAGCCGGCAAGTTCGCCAGACACGACGCTCACAGGCTGCCCGACCACAAAGGCCTCCTCCGTACCCGCCGACACAGCGCTCGAAACAGGGACACCGACCAAGGTGGACAAGTCGACACCGGGTTCCTGGAACTTAGCCAATTCATCAGCCGTTGGTTTCACTGCCGCACCGCGTAGCAATCCCTGGGGCTTGACGGTGCGCAGCAAAAAGCCCGTACGCTCTTCCAATAGGTAATTACGAAATTTAACACATTCCGTAAAATAGTTTGGCCTCTCTGTTTCAAATTGGTACGACTCTAGATCAGCCAGTGTGATGCGTCTTGGAGGTGCTCGTTCCCTCACTGCCGGTGCCGGGGCTCCCTCGGCGGCAGCCGCTTCGCGAGCAAGTTCTTTGCTTAAGTCGATGCGCGGGATTACACGCACGACCACGGAACCGGCGTTCTCATCCAGTGCCGAAACGAGAGCCAAGTCGCCAGCGTAAGGTCCTCGTTGAAACCGGACCCATTCACCGAGTCGCGGGAGCTCTTCACGACGCGCATCCATTTGGAACACGTCCGCCATTTCCTTAACGGGCACCCGCTTCACATTCGGCCCGCTGGTAAGCAGCTGCCGGATGTCACCCAAGTGTTTCTGGATAGCATTCTGACTAGGCGCTTCTACATAAATGCTGCCCTTCACCGAGTCGGAAGCGAATGCCGAAGCGATCATGAAGGCGCCCCGACTTCGCTCACTAGCGAACTTTCGGAGTACTGCTACACACGCTTCCCGTTCCACACCTGGACGTACTGTGCGAACCTTCCACAACTTCCAAGCACCCGGCAGCATCTTCTGTAACTCAGCTCCAGAGTCGTCTAGATAATCGTCCGACAAATAGCCGTCTCCATACTCCGCATCACGACCACCCTCCGCGTCACCATCAGCGTACCGACGCTCCAAGGCACCCACTGTGTTGTAGTACAGGTTACCCGCACGACCACGCCCCGCTGACTCACCCCCCATCTCCTCCTCCAACCGCCGCCGGTGCGACAAGTCCATCTCCGCAGCCTCCGCAGCCTCGCCGCTGTCGTCCAAAAACCCACCGTCATCTTCCTCGTCCAATTCCTCCTCCGCCTCCGCGTCGTCCTCTGCTGCTTCGAACTCCAAAAAGGAACCCACGCCACCCCGTTTCTTCTTCCGACCTGCCGCTGGCGGCACGTACTCCTCGTCCTCCTCGTCCTCCTCCGCTCGACCCCGCCGCTTCGGCATACCAATTTTTTACCGACCGGCCCCCGCCCAGCGTTCCAACACATTATCCCAATGCAACCGTCAACAGAGGCATGCTCTTAACCCTAGCAACCACAACCACACTAACTGCGCCCATTTACAGAAACCTTGCACGGTCACCAAGACTCGGCCGCAGCCGAGCCCGCGTGTGCCTCCACTCCCCAAGACTGACTGAGTGGCTGACTCCCCAAGCCCGCCAGGACGAGGACGGCGCATGCCATACAGAATTATAGCTAGAACAAACGAACCACTCAGCCCGCGTAGCACCGCGCACGTAGCGGAGTAACACCCGCCACACATGCGCCCAGTTCCTTACGGGACCAGTTCCTTATGGTCAGGGCAGGGGGAGGGATGGGACCAGTTCCCTATGGTCAGGGGAGGGGAAGAGATGGAACCAGTTCCTTATGGAACCAGTTCCTTATGTCAGGGGAGGGGAGGGACAGGGGCGGGGCCGCATTGCGGAGCATTCAAATCTCTTTGCCCATCATCGCAGCAATCACCATAGCCAGGATCAAAAGTTGCTTCGCCCCCTGCCACTCGTTTATCCAGATGGTCGCCATGCCCAGGGAAGGTGCGTAGGCATATGCGGTGCCGTAGATGTCGTCTTCGGTCAGCCACATCTGGCCTCGGTTGTACAGACCGCGGTCGTCTACGTTGTTGTTGTCGCCCTTGGTCAAAAGCATTTGATTCCCATCGTCTCTGCAACCAACGTTATGTTTGGAGTGTGTCGTGTGGATACCTTTGATGCACGCTGAGGACCCTGTGGACGATGGGTATGTCTCGCCCCTTGAGATTGTAGACGACGACGTCTCCGGTGTGGTAAGTTCCGGGGTTCCGGAGGAAGAGTATGTCGCCTCTGTACATGCCGGGTTCCATGGAGCCGGAGAGGACGACGACCACGGGCGAAGCGCAGTTAGTGAGCAGCATTAGACACTTCCAGGCCACGAAGGCTGTGAGAATCATCACACCTCCGTTAGCGCCCGTGTGCAGACACTTGCGAGGCTGCACAATCAGCCGTTTGATGGCACGCCAGACGTCGTCCAGGATTTCAATCATAAGACGTCTCACTTTTTATTTTTATGGCTACCATGGACGTTTCCCCCGTGTCGACTGCTGCATCTCCGACTGTACAGAAACACTCCCAACCAGCAGGCCACCAAAGGCGCGTTAGGGCCACCACAGGCACGTTAGGGCTACCACGGGCACGTCAGGGCCACACACACTCTGGACAGCGACTGGGACAGATCGAACCCTGCTTTGAGCAGATGTAGTGTTGATGCACGGCTCTGAGCTGACTGCCGTCACTGACCAAGGTTACTGACCAAGGTTACTGACCAAGGTTACTGACCAAGTGAAGAGGCGTTACATTGCACAAGGGGTTGCCACGGAGGTGTGTGGTGGTCACATGGGTGCGGTGGTCACATGGGTGCAACGTAGCGTGTTTCAGTTTTGTGGTGCTGTGAATGGGGATGACCGTGCAGCCGGTTTGAAGGAGAAGCTGAGTAAGGCGTTGTCGGAGTTGGTTAAGTTGCGTCGTACAGAGAACGACCTGCGGGCCAAGTTGAACGCCTTTGGTTCCGGTCCGGTGGCGGGTACGGGGGAGGACGCGGAGAGTCTGCGGCGTCGAGTGTGTGAATTGAACGCTGAGTTGGCTAGTGCGCGTGCGGAGTTGCAGAAGGCGTCTGCTGCGGAGTATCCGAAACTGTTGGAGGCGAATCGGCAGCTGGAGGCGCGGCTGGGGGAGGTGGAGGGTCGTTTGGCGGAACGTGTGCGCGAATTGGGGGAAGAGCAGCAGTTGCGGCGGCAGTTTGAGCAGAATCTGCAGGCGGAGAAGCAGTTGCGGTCAACGCTGAATGCTTACTTGCGAGTGGAGCTGCAAGCGATCTGCACACACGTGCGCGGCCTGGACAACGAGGTCGCGGCAGATGTCCTCGCGCGTTTGATGAACTTGACGGACAAGCTAGACGTCGAGTATACCTCGGAAGAGATTGTCGCCCGACTAACGGAAGTCGGTGAGATGACGGAACAGCTGCGTACGCTGCAAGCCGGACTCGAAAGCTACGAAAAGCGGGTGCGCGAGCTCGAGACCTACTTGGGCGACAAGACACAGAACGAGCAAACGCTCGTGACTCAACTGCACTCGCTGGGAGAGAAGTACGACTCCCTCACGCAGCGCATCGTCAGCATGTCCAAAATCACCGAGCAAAAAGAAGCTGAACTGAAAACCAAAGAAGACGAACTCCGAGCTCTACAACTAGCCGCCAAACAGACCTCGGACGACCATGACACTTTCGCACGCCGTACCAAATCTCTCGAACAAAACGTGCGCGAACTTGAACTCAAAAACGAAATGCTCAGAGCAGCACTGGACTCCGCAGTACTCAAGGCGGATGAGAAGACCCAAGAGCTCTCCAAGAAAATCGAGTCGAATAAGGATTGGGAAGTCCAGGAAGCCGTCCGAAAAGCCGTCAGGGAATTCGCCGAGAAGATGGAGGACTTGAAGAAGGAGCATAGGTCTAAAATCGCCGACAAGGACGCCCAATTGAGTCTACAGCAGGCAACGCTAACCGAGCAGCGACAGAGATTCGAGACCCAGCGACTAGAACTACAGACCGTCTTGGATGAGCGTCGGTTACTCCAGGACCAGCTCAAAGAAAAGACTGCGGAGCTTCAGGAAAAGGTGGCTCGGCTTGAACAGGCTCGAGACAGCGGCTTGCCGGCGTCTGGAAAGGAGCTGGAGAAATTACGGTCTGAAATCCGGTCTAAGGAGGAGGCCATTTCCCAGTTCCAGGAAGACCTCCGAGCTGTTGAGGAAGAGACCCAGAGACAGATCAGCGAGGCCAAGGAATCTCTCGAAAAGGAGCTGCAGAGCAAGCAAGCTGTTTTGACAAAATTGGACGCTAAGGAGAGGGAGCTCAGGGAGCACCGCGAGCTGCTGGAGGCCAAGTCGAGGGAGTTGGAGGCAAAATCGAGGGAGTTAGAAACTACATCGAGCAATTTTGCGCAGACTCTGACCCAAAAAGACGCGGCCATTATGGCGAAAGAGTGTGCTATAAAGGAGAAGGAAGAGTTGCTCGCCCAGCTGCGGGACGAACGGGGGTCTGAGGTAGTCAGGGCAAAGGCAGCTGCTCTGGCAGCACAAGTACAAGACCTCGAGCAGCAAAAGGTATCTATAACTATCGCGAAGGAAAGCCTTGAACGACAATTAGTTGATTGTGAAGATAAAATATCCGATCTTGAAGAGGCAGTTTGTTCGCTAGAGGACCAGCTGGCTTCGAAACAGGACGAGATCGCGAAGCTGAATTCCCAGGTTACGCACCAGACACCAAGTGAGTCGGAGCAAACAACTCTCAAGGCGGAACTGGAAGAGGCGCGGGCGGAGCTGGGAGATACCACAACGAAGCTCGAAGAGGCCACGACGAAGCTCGAAGAGGCCACGACGAGGCTTGAAGAGCTCTCCCGGGAGCTGGAGACACAAAAGCAGGAGTTGGTAGAGGCACGGGCCAAAAAGGAACGGCTCGTGCAGCAGACATCCGACCAGGAATCCGACCAGGAATCCGACCAGACGTCCGACCAGACATCCGAGCAGATGTCTGATGATGAAGTGCAGACGTCCGACGGTGAGGAGCAGATGTCCGAGGAGCGGGGTTGGTCGGAGGAGAAGACGGACGAGAAGGCGGCGGTGGAGGCGGACTTGGTTGCTGTTCGGAATTCCCTGGAGTCTGAGTTGAGGGTTGCGTGCAGTGGATGTGAGGAATTGAGTGAGAAGGTTGTGGTTCTGGAGGAGAGCGTATCAAGCTTGCAGGAAGAGCTCCGGGAGGCGGAGGCAAGTTGGGCGGAGAAGTTGTCATCGAACGTGTGTTTGATAAATGATTTGAAGAACGTGATAGGTGAATTGGAAAAATCGAAGTGTGAGTTGACGACTGAGGCATCGGAGTTGCGGTCACAATTGGAGGAGCAGGATCCGGCACGTGCTTGGCAGTTTGACGCTGGTTTGATCCGGTATATAGAAGAGGCCAAGAAGGCAAGTTCCTCAATGGCCAGTATCAACTTGACTAGGAAGTGCCAGAGCGGGGAAATGGTGAGGATGCTGCGGAAGGCGGCGTACTACTTTGCCTCTCGAGCAGAGGGACTCAGAGAGGAGACTAACGTGCTCAAGACACAGCTCGCAGAAAGCGCCCAGACAATCCAGAAGACCAGGCACGAGCGGGCACAAGACCAGGAGACCTTCAGCCTAAGATTGCACAACGCTACAATGGACATGGAGAAACTTGACAGCACCATCAACGCACTCCGGGAACAACTGGCTACTGAGAAACGCGGACGGGAACAAGAGGTACTCACACTTCGACGAGATAATGAAACCCTCACTGAACAACTTAATGAACAACTAGCGGTCAGAACCGCTCTGCAGACTACTGTCGAAACAGCCGAGACTACACCCAAGACACGCAGTTGCCCTGAGTGCGACTCACGAAAACATCAAGCAATCATTGCGCCTACCCCAAGAGCACCCGACACATTCGATCTTGTAAAGTAAGTCATACCGGTCATCACACACACGGAGTGGAAACACACACGGAGTGGAAACACACACACGGAGTGGAAACACACACCATCAAAAAACTTCTTATAGGGCAACCATTATACTTGGGGCTATAACTTGTATTTATGTCGGCTACCAATTAAGTTATTTAACCAATTAGTTTGTCTTCTATTTTTTTGAACTTGGAGCTCTTCATGTATCGAAGGCTATAACTCTCATTTACACCTTCGCTGCTTTTCCCGTATAAATAAGTTCATGAGCGACCATTTCAACCACGATGTACGGGCGATCAGAGGAATCACATGTTACCCACCCTACCCACTCATGCTACCCACCTAAGATAGCACTCACAGTATTGGTGTAGCACTCATAGTATTGGTGTAGCACTCACAGTGTTGGTGTAGCACTCACAGTAAGTCTTGTTTAAGTCCTTTGTTGTAGGGGTCGTATAATGTCGTGATTGTGGGGGGTGGTCCGGCAGGTCTACTCTGTGGCTTGCTTTATGGTATGCTCGACTCGGTAACTGATATAGCCATAGTCGATGCGACGAGAGTGCCTTATCCGCATGGAGCTTTGAACGACAAGCAAGCCAGGAATGCATTGCCAACAGATCATTGTTTACTGAACGCGGAAAGTTTGGAGATTCTGAACCGCTTCGGCTTACTAGAGGAGCTAACCGAGTTCGCTAAACCGGTTCAGGGAGCCGACATTATAGATTGTTCCACAGTATGTTGGTCACACAGTATGTTGGCCTACAGTATATTGGCCTACAGTATATTGGCCTACAGTATATTGGCCTACAGTATGTTGGTCCATAAGTCTGTTTGTTGATCCAATGTCTGTTTGTTGATCCACTGTCTGTTTGTTGATCCACTGTCTGTCTGTTGATCCACAGTCTGTCTGTTGATCCACAATCTGTCTGTTGGCCATCACCACTGGTGCGAGACTCGCGAGATGTTGTTGCATCAAGACTCATGTTGCTGTATGGTGTTGGTTATGTAGACTGTGAATGTTTTGCAGATTGTGAAGGAAGTGAAAAGATTTTCAAAGAACAAGTGCGCCAAGTTTCATAGCGGTTTAGTTGTGGAGCAGTGGAAGCTAGAGAGGTATCTGATGGACCATTTGTCGTGTATGAACGTGGATTTTTTTCGGTACCATGTGGCGACAAAGATTGTGATTAACGGGACGAGCATGGAGGAGTATCCGATTAGTGTGTTCTACCGGGAGTGTAACCCCTACGGACTAGACTGGACGGCGGGTAAGGCCCAGTCGTTACCGCACACATCTTCGCTGGATACAGTTGTGGTGCATTCGGATATGGATTTGAATACGAGTGTAAAATGTGTCTGTTGTCGTTATTTGGTAGGCGCGGATGGTCATTACAGTATTGTCCGTCAAGCCATTAAATCTACGTTGGTTAAGCTGCCACAGAAAAGCTATGAATATCTTCTTATCGACGTCGAAGCGGAAGAAGACGAAGCGGAAAACACTATCGGGTCAGACGCAAACTCACAACACTACCGCATCCTACATAAGGAACAGGGAGCCTGCATTGTGTACTCTTATGCACACCCGGGCAAGTACCGAATCATCACCCGACGCCCCAAGCGGGACGACGAACAGTATCTTGGTACTCCAGGACAACCCGCCGCCGATGATGACATCCCCGAGCCTGCAAAAAGCAATCGCTCAATGGGAGGCAGGTCTACGGAGGGCCGGTCAACGGAGGGTCGATCCACGAAAAGTCGCTCCGTTGAGGGTCGGTCCACAGGCGGTCGGTCCACAGGCGGTCGGTCCACAGGCGGTCGGTCCACAGGCGGTCGGTCCACAGGCGGTCGGTCCATGCAGGGCGAAGCTGGCCCGTCAAATGAAGTTGTTTACAAGGCGCCGGGGGGGCCTGCCTCGCTTCTCGACGACACGCCAGCCCCTGGCGGGGACCACGGCCGTGCCGCCGGTCGAGACGGGGCGGCTGAGATTGACAGCTGGCTGGGCGAAGACACCGATGCCGAGGGGGGGTGTGCACCGGCATTTGCATCGAGTGGCGGAGGCATTAGCCTAGGTAACTCCGCCTGTGGGCTGGCCCTTGGCTTGGACGGCAGGCTGCCTTCTGAGAAGCAGTTTTCGGACGGCAGATTGCAAAAGAAGGGTAGCAATCTCCAAGACTCGACAACCCACCAGCCGAGCAGGGACGACTTCCAGCCGAGCCGGGACGGCTTCCAGCCGAGCCGGGACGGCTTGGAAAGCAGTGACCCCCTCAGCAAAGGTCTGGGTGAGGGGCTGCATTTGCCCATTGGCCAGCCGTCCGCGGGTGGTGAGCAGGTCGTGGGGTCTGCCGGAGGCGCGTCGGCAGCTGGCAAGCCGGCGACGTCAGAGCCGTGGTCGGTATTGAGCCGACTGAGTTCGTACCGGCGGCGGCGGCCGCCGACGGCACAGCAATTGGAGACGATTGTGAGTTCGTTATTCGGCGATGTGCGCGAAATAACTTGGTGTCGTTGCCTGAGTGTGGACTACGAGTTGACTGAGGAGTGTGCGAAGGTAGTGAACTCACGGTCGGCGGTGTTCCTGGTTGGTAGCGCGGCGCGTGGTTGTCCGCCGCTATGGTCGGGGTCGCTCAATATGGCGGTGCAGGACTGTTATAGTCTGGCTTGGCGGCTGCACAGTATCGTAGGTTGGCGAATCGCGAACCAGCGACTGGTACAGAGCTACAACCGCGAGCGCGTGCTGAGCACCTACCAGTACTTCCAGCAACAAATGGAACGCACCGACACCCTACTCGCCTACCAACGTATCGCCCCAGCCAGCGGCGTTCGCAAAGTCATGCGCAAGTTCTGGAAAAAAGAGGAACAGGAACTCGCCCAAGACCTCAACGCCGTCGTACTTAGCAGCACTTGCGGCTCCGGCCAGTACAGCACACTCGTTGGTGCCGCCCGCTACGCCGGTGGCCACCCCAGCGGCATCCACCTCGCCACAGGTGTTTCTGCGGTCCCGACGGGGCCTCCGGGGGCGCTGATGGGACGTAGTCAGAGTGTGGCATCTATGTTAGCGGACAAGTTGTTAGCGCCACGGTCTCCGCAGCCGGGCGATGCTTTGTGGAACGCCGTTGGTGTGGTGGACGGGGGATTTGGGAAGTTGCCGCAGGTGAAGGTAATTTCGTTTAATGCGGCCGATGAGACGAGTCATCGTGTGACGGACCTGACTGACTTGGGTAAGCTGAGTCTGGGGACGCACATGGTGTTATTGGTGCTGCGTGTGCTGCCTTATGGGTCGCGCGTGAAGACGATTTTCGGTTGCGAAAGGCCGGAGCTGGCGCCCCGTTATGAGGCGAAGGATGTGGACGCTCTAGCCCTGCTTAGTCGTCGTACCAATGGCCTGCCATTCACGCCCTATTGGGTCTTCACGCCTGCGGGCGAGAAGCCCAAAGAGGTCGTGTCGGTTCAAAAACAGATCGAACAAATTCCTGCTGACCTGCGCCGACGCGTGTCCGAAAAGGAACTCACTACTCTCGACCCCGATACCGAAGTCGTTGATGCCCTCCAGTTCAAGTTCAGCACCAGCGAACGCATCCTCGCTAAAGAGACATGTGCACGTACCGGCGACGATGCCAGACCCTGTGGCGCGGGCTTCGCTATCGTCCGCCCCGACGGCGTCATTGCTCTAAAGGGGCTGGTGACTGACACCGCCGCCCTCGCCATGTTCGACCTGTACCTGGCCGAACATGCTCCCTCGCTCAAACCCTAAGCTGCAAGCAGAGGCATCGAATGAACCTGCGACTCGGTAGATATGCTCGAGCCTGAAAGTTGGAATCTGCGACTTTGTACAATACGATTGTGGCTATCTGGACAGGCAGCGCGCACGTTGGCAAATGCGAGCATTGACAGCGAGTATGTTTTAACGTTCTACCGTTTGTTGCATGGTTAGTGTTTGGGGTCACAGTCTTTCTCTCCGGGCTGTCTGTCTTTGCGGAAAATGTCTTCAAAAATATACGTGGTCTTTGCGGAAGTACATTAGCTTAGGATGGTTTGTTTCATCACTGGGAGGTGATTATTCATTCCTCTTCTTGTTTTTTGATCGCGTTCTTGGCAAGTCTGGTAAGCGAGGCTCTGTATATTGTATCTGAAGACATGGGTTCTATGACATCTTGTTGTTTCAATTTAGGTACGATACTTTGTGCAATCTGGGCGAGACGTAGGGGTGTGATGCTGGGTATAATGTCTTGTGTGGTTTCCGGTGTAAAGTATGGGTGTGCCAATGCCTCTTCAATAGTGATTCGTTGTCTGGGATCAATTGTAAGCATTCGTAACAAAAGGTCTTGGGTTATAGGGTCAACGACTGAAGGAAGATACCGAGCTAATCTAGAGTTCCGATGATGAATAGGCTCATATAAGAATGGTAACTTGTCTAGATCCGGGAAGATCTCATAGACATTATGTGGAACTTCTAAAAGACTAAAAATCTTTCTTAACTGATGACACTCCGATGATCCATTCAAAATTGTCTGTGTCATCAATAACTCAGCAAACAAGCAACCCACACTCCAAACTTCAGCTTCCGGCCCGTAATAAATCTCGCCTAAAAGTAACTCCGGCGGACGGTACCAAAGCGTTATGGCTGTGCAGTACTTCTGCTCATGATCCGGTGAAAGTCCGTACTTCACTGATAGACCAAAATCCGCTAACTTCACAACAATACCACCTGACGTCAACAAAACATTCTGCGGCTTTATATCTCGATGCAACACATTCTTAGAATGCACATAATTCAATGCTGATAGCAACTGCAACATTATACTACGGACGTATGACCGATCCAAATAAGTCTGGCTCTTGATACGAATATCCAAGACTTGACCCAAATCCGTTTCACACAACTCAAACACGAACGCGATACTCTCAATGCCCACAAATATATTATGCAGTCTACGGCACAAACGGAATTTGCTCGCGCGCCCACGCGTGTTTGTCGCGTTGTCGCGCGCGTGTTTGTCGCGCGCGTGTTTGTCGCGCGTGTTTGTCGCGCGTGTTTTCGGTTACTGGACAATATTGGGATGATTCAGGTCCTTCAGCAACGCCATCTCTCGCATGGTTGTAGGCGGAACGCCCTCCGACACATTCAATAATGACAGAATCTTGATAGCGACCCTTTCCTGGGTATGCGCGTTTTCAGCAACGTAGACTTTTCCATACGTTCCCTCGCCAACAGGTGTCAGCAAAATATAATCCAGAGCTATCTCCTTGGGTAGTTGTACCCACTTTGTAATATCTCCACGTGTCCATTCAATCCGGTCAGCTCCCATTTGCCTCCAAATTAAAACCCTCCCTTTACCCCGTGCCCCATGACGATAACACGGGTCTTAAACCCTAGGTCTCAAGGGGCGCGCTGCCTGAGTGACGGCAGAAAGCCTGGGTGTAGATGTGAACCCTGGGTTCGAGCCACCATTGGCCTTTGTAGCCTGGTCGGTGAATAAGTGCCTGAATAGTAGCTTGCTTTTTGCGCTCATTGCCAGTGGCCATTGCGCTTGCGCCCGCGCCCGTGCTGTGGTTATTGAGCAGTGCTGTTGCTGATTGCGGTGTGCTTTGGTGTACTCGAAGGGATGGAGCAGACCAAAAGCAGGAGCACATAAAAGGTGCACTAATGCGCTTTTGGCTCATCGTTCTCTTCACGGGATGCAGTGCAAGGCCGCTGGTCGCAACTGGCGTGGGAAAGCGTCAACCTAGGTTTTTCCAAAAGTCACATGACGTACCCTCGTACGTTCCGAGCGCCAAAGGGGGACCGACATACCTCCGCCCGGAGTCCAAACACCCAGCATTCCTGCCGCCGAAGCTCAGGAAGCCATCGTACGTTCCGCCGTCGCCCAAGGAGGCACCCAGCTTCTCTCCAGCTAAGGAGCGATACGCGTTCGCTCCCGCAATCTCCAGACGTAGCAAGGCCGAGTTATTTTCAGGACTGGGCCTCTCAGAATCTGCTCCTGGGCCTTCCAAATCTGCTCTTGGGACTGCGAATTCTGCTCCTGTCAGAAGGACTGCTGGAAAGGACCAGCCGATATTCTCTGGCCCGTCCAAGAAACAGCAATTCCGAAAAGTAGACCACTATGTTCCACCTGGCCGCTTCGACAACATATGGTCTCGCGGCTGGTTCCAAGAAAAACCCAGTCCCATCTTTGATCGACTTAATGAGCCCTTTTATTCCGATTATTATTACCCACCACCCACCTCCACTCGCAAACCCCGACCCCGACCTCGACCCACACGAAGACCTACACCTCTGCCCACCACTGACACGACCACTACAACCACTGAGGAGGAATACACCACTGAAGAGGAATCTACTGCTGAGGAAACCACAACCGAGAACTACTACAGCTCCGAGACCACCCAATCACAATGGGCGAACGCTTTCAGTTCTCAACCCGCGGAGCCTGGGACGGCGGCTCAGCTCGGTACGACCACCGAGCTGTGGTTCAAACTGACTGTTGTGCCCTCCGTGGGCGCCATGTCCGACGAATCTACCACTGCAGAGGAAGTCTCCTCGGCAGAGGAAGTCTCCTCGGCAGAGGAAGTCTCCTCGGCAGAGGAAGACTTCACAACAGAGGAAAACTCTACGATCGGGACGGATGCCGCTGGCGGAATGCCTACGTCGCAGGGCATCATGCCCATATCGGGCCCTCCGTTCTCCCGCTCCACTGAGGCCTCGACAATGGAGGGCACTTCCAGCGAGGTAGGGGCATCCACGCTGCCGTCGAGTTCCCCGGCGGACATGTCTGGGATGAGCGACCTGCTGGACATAATGGAAACTGGAGCCACCACCGCAGCCGTTGATGGCAGTACCGCTGGGGGTAGTACCACGGGTGGCACCACCGCTGGGGGTGCCACTACTGAAGGCACCGCCACTGAAGTCACCACTGAAGTCACCACTGCTGAGGTTACCGATGCTGAATTAACAACTGCTGGTGGCAGTGCCGCTGGTGGCAGTACCGCTGGTGACACTACCGCGGGGGGCAGCGGATCAGAGGGTGCTACGGCTGGGGGCGCAGAAGGCGCAACGTCCGGGGAAGACGCGGTGACCGAGGACTTGAACCCGGCGGGTGGGGAGAGTGGTGCTGGTCGGGAAGAGGGATCTTCTGAGGGCGGCTCAGAAGAGGACCCGGTTGAGGAACATGAGGCGGCGGGCGCAGGCGACTCGGAAGCCGCGGGCGCAGGCGACTCGGAAGTCACGACCGAGGGCGGCGGTCGAGGTCGCGGTCGTGGACACAGGCAGCGCAGCCACGGCGGCGGTTCACGTACTCACGGCCGTCGAGGCGGAGAGGATGGCACGCAGGAGAAAGACGAGAACGCTGGGAACCACATCCACATCGAAATCAACGTGCCCGCTGCCGCCCCCACTAGCTGCCCCGATGCCAGTAAAGGCGGCGCTACAGACGGGTCGGAAACGACAGAGCCGACGACCACGACCACCACGCCGCAGCCTGTTGCGACCACCACGACCACCACCACGACGACACCCGAAACAACTACCACACCGGGAACAACGACTACCACCACCACACCACAGCCGACGACCACGCCAGAGACGACCACCACAACCACGACGACCACCACAACCACGACGACCACTACCACCACCACCACCACACCAGAGACAACGCCTACCACAACGACCACCACAGAACTAACGACCACCGCAGAGCCAACGACCACAGCCACAACGACCACGCCAGAGACGACGACTACAAGCAGTACGACGACTCCCGCGACAACTCAAGCGACGACGACCCAAGCGGCGACGACTCAAGCGGCGACGACTCAAGCGGCGACGACTCAAGCGACGACGACTCAAGCGACGACGACTCAAGCGACGACGACTCAAGCGACGACGACTCAAGCGACGACAACTCCAGCGACGACGACTCCAGAGACCACGACTCCAGAGACCACGACTCCAGAGACCACGACTCCAGAGACCACGACATCGGGTACAACGATGGAGTCGACCACCAGTTCTGTTGCCCCTACGTCTGGAGGAGAGTCTACAGACGTGCCTATCCCCGACACGAGCGTGGGTGTGTTAACAGAGGAAGTCATTGGGCCTGCCGCACCGGAAGATTCAGCTATGAATGCGCCGGAGATTACAGCCCCGGAAAACGCTTCGAACGACGAGGACGAAAGTACGACAAGGCACGTCGATTTGCCGCCAGGTATGATAATTGCCATAAACCCATCCATCAGCATGGACAATCCATCCGTCACAGTCGACAACCCGTCTGTTAAAGTCGTCCAATAGCACAACACGCACAAATGCGCAGCTAGCACTTCACGCAGCACGATGTGCTCACTTTCACTTTCTTTTTTGTATTTCTTGCTACAAAAATTTAGTCATGATACCTCCTCCGGAAGACAGTAAGCGTCTCAGTTTTCCGATTCTCATGGTTGTTGCAGTCCCAGGACTACCGCATGTTACAGGTGAAATTCGGCGGCCTGTTGCTCTTAAAACCACCGGATTGAGTGAAAGATTAGACCCTGTATATATTGGACATCTCCCTAAAGATTTAACCGACGATCTGCTGAAGAAAATACTTACGGTAAGCGGCAGCACACGCGTGTGCAAACACTTGTTTAAGGTGCTGAAACAGCATGACGATTGTACTGAGCCGGATAATGCGTGTTTAGGCCGTTTCTCTTTATCTGTTTTATATTGACTCGTTCCTAGCAAGCAAACTTCGAGTTTGTTGGCGTCTGTTTGCGCGTGGTCCATCATCTTACTGTGTTCCAGGAATGCGGTGTCGTAGTGAAAATAGTGCGGTCTCGTACTCCTAAGACGGACGAGCTTGCCTCGTTCGGGTTGGTGGAACTCGACAATGTTGAGTCAGTTTGGAAGGTAATAAACATGATAAATGATCTTGAGGTGATTGGTAGCAAGTTGGTAGTGAAGTGCCCAGCAAAGACGCGTGAGATGGTGGATCGGTGGCACAATAACAGGAGTTACCATTTATATAAGAATAATCCAAGCTGGAGTCAGGAGCAGATCGACGCTGAGTTTCTGGCGGCTGAGGAGCCTCTGCGAGAGTCTATCCGGTCCACAGTCAAGGCGGTGGAGGAGGCGGTGGCCAAGGCGAAGGCGGAAAAAGAGGCTGACGACAAGGCTCGGGCGTCCCGTTTGGAATTGATGCGGCAGCGCCTGATTGAGAGGAAGGCGGAGTCGGAGGAACAAGCGGCGTCCAAGAGGCAGCGTATGGAGGAGCGGAAGAAGGAGAAGACCGCCCCTGACAGCAGCCTGCCTTCCGAGTTGGTGGCTCGACAGAAGCACCGAGTGGACGCGTACTTGCGGAAGAAGCAAGACTTCCTCAAGCATCTGGAAGAGGCCAAGCAGAACTGGCCGAAGACACTCGACGGGTTGCGGAAGAAAGCGGAGCGACGAGAGGAAGACATCATCTACCGGTGGTCCAAGGCGATTCCCAGCGCTCGGGAGGCCTGGAATCAACTCAAGGCCGACCTGGAGGGATACAGCGCCGTCCTCACGGTCTCTTACGCCTGCTCCAACGGCACGTCCCCGCTCTACGACTTAGAACCGAAACTGGCAAGCGAAGCCTCCCGACTGAGTACTGACTGTCATGACATTCCCACTGCCCGCTACTGGACCCATAAAGTGAATAGCGCCCGGGAGGGCATGCGCAGGTCTGAACGAGAAGACGAGCTGTCGAAGGAAGGCGAACGTCTCAAGGAAGACGAACTGTCGAAAAAAGACGAACGTCTCAAGGAGGAGTCTGTAGATCAGCCTTCTCCTGAGGAAGACGAACTCCCGGACAAACCTTCCCAGGAACACCAACCTTCTTCTCAGGGAAATCAATCGGGGAAGGAGTTCCTCTTTTCCGAGATCGGGAATGGGGATTCGCCCAGTGGTGCGAGCGGCGACGCGGCCAGACTCGCCGCCATCAAGGCCCACATGCAGAAAGTGGACCAGGCGGCCGACTCGGAGATCGATTGGGCGCGTCTGTCCCGCACCGGGCTCTTCGTTGAGGGCGAACTCCGCGCCTGGCTCGTCGAACGCACCACAGAGTTCGTGGGTGCAGAGGACGCCGAGGACATGGCCGAGTTCATCCTTGACCAGTTCCCCCCACGAGCCGACCAGCCGCCCACAGAGGAGTCCTTGGCCACCGAAATGCGGGAATTCCTTGACGTGGAAACCGACCAATTTGTTAAGGCACTATGGACCCGAATCAAACAATGCTAAATCTTCATACTCAAGTGACACGCAAATGTACTGTTGACACATATCGTTGACACATACTGTTGGTTGCATGCAAGATGATATTATATTGATGCACGCACTACGCTGGGCAAGCACGATATCACTCACACGCGAAATAGGGTCTATCCAATCCCGATCTATCAAACCTGTGTTTCATTCGGGCAATCTCAGGACGCAAAATGGGCCCCGACTCACAGCACGCGTCAACACACGCAACTTGCTCTTCCTTCCTTGCTGCAATCGCCTTGTTGCTAGGTCACATACACTCACCGTGGCACTCTCCTCGTTGCACTCTCATCGTGGCGCACTTAGCATCGTGACGCACTTAACATCGTGACGCACTTGGCATCGTGACGCACTTAACATCGTGACGCACTTAGCATCGTGACGCACTTAGCATCGTGACGCACTTAGCATCGTGACGCACTTAGCATCGTGGCACTCTTTTCTTGTCTGCTTCAGCGTTGGCAGGCACGCGCAAATGAAAGCCACTTGGGGGGCCGGCTCCCTGTTGTCTGAATAGACATCGTAAGCGGCCACCCTCATCCAACCCTGCTGTAGCCCTTGTTGTTTCGGGTCTGTGTATAATGTTCACAAAGCTTGCAAAGCATTCCGCTCGCAAGGCACTTCACCAGGGAACACACCTCGAGAACGCCGTCCGCAGTCTGTCTTGTCTCCCTTCTCGTAGAGGCGGCCCCTGGCCGGACACACTCAGACGTGGACCGTGTGGCAGCTGGAGGCGGCGGCCGCGTCCTTGAGCGACTCGAGCACTCGCAAGCGGTGTCGCTCGGCGTCCTCGTACCAGGCGAAGCCGATGGTCTCAGTGGTGAGCGATTTGCCTTGCACATTCTTGGCGTTGAGGAACGCAGCTTCGCCGGGGTCCGCTGGTGCATCGAGCTCGGGATTCAAGCAAGCTGCAATCCACTCCTTGACGCGTTCCAAGTAGCCCTTTTTCATTCCTTTATAAAAGCCCCGGCGGCATGGCGACTGCGGTGGAGATTGCACCAAAGCCGAACCACCCAGCCATGAAGTCAAACACGACGCCAAACAAGTCCGACCAGACGGAGCGGCTGCGGGCGGCCATCGCGCACAGTCTGCCGCCCGCGTACAACTTCGAAGTGGAGAAGACCATAACGCGACTGAACCAGGAACGCGCGCGCGCGGTCTGTCTCCAGTTCCCCGAGGGCCTGCTTGTATGGGGCGAGGCCATTGCGGCCTTGCTGGAGGAGTTCACGGAGACCGTGCAGCGTGTCGTAGTTCTCGGAGACGTGACCTACGGGGCGTGCTGCGTCGACGACATAAAGGCCGTCCACCTCGGCTGCGACTTTCTCGTCCATTACGCTCACTCATGTCTAGTCCCCATCGACGCTGTCAACATCAAGTGCCTATATGTGTTTGTCGAGATCTACCTCAACCCCAGAAGGCTGGCACGAACTATAAAAGAGTGCTTGCTCACCCCTAAACTCGCAAACGACCGAAGTTTAGTGGAGAAGTCCACAACGCTTGGGGAAGACGCTGTGACTGAAACGCCTACGGAAGCGGTGGGTGAATCGCCCGCGGAAGGGGTAGCGGAGACACCAACCAGTGTCTCGCCAGCTACTGCCTCGGCGGATACCTCCTCGCCGGTTGCCTCCTTGCCGGATACCTCCTCGGCGGTTGCCGCCTTGCCGGCTGCCTCCTTGCCGGCTGCCTCCTCGCCGGCTGCCTCCTTGCCGGCTGCGACGCGAGTGGGCGGTCACGAGGGGAGCATAATTCTGTTGGCCACGATTCAGTTTTCAAAGTGTGTACACCAGGCTTGTCGCGAGTTGGTGGAGGAGTTTGGTAGTGGTGTGTTTATTCCGCAGTGTGAGCCGTTGACGGCGGGGGAGACGTTGGGTTGCACGTCGCCGGTATTTCCGGCGGGTTGTCGCACATGTGTGTTTGTAGCGGATGGTCGATTCCACGTGGAGAGTGCGATGATCCAGAACCCAGAGACGCGCTTTTACCGATATGACCCTTTCACGCGGCGGTTGGTATTGGAGGAGTACGACCACAGTTTGTTGTTTCGGCTTCGGAACGGCGTTCTAAGGCGTGTGGAGCGTGCACACACTTTTGTTCTCATCTTGTCGTCGCTGGGTCGTCAGGGCAGTGTGGGGTTGGTGGAGCACGCGCGCGTCCAGGTGCGCAAGTACCGTCCGACGGCCACGGTGTTGACTGTCATGCTTGCGGAGCTCGTGCCCAGCACGCTCGGCGCGTTGCTCCAAAACTTTGACGATCCCGGCCGCGTATGCTTCGTCAACGTCGGCTGTCCACGACTCGCCCTCGACTGGGGACATGAATTCACCCAGGCCCCTTTCATTACCACTTACGAAATGCAACAAGTACTCGCCACCAGCGTCTACGCCATTAACACTCACCCCATGGACTACTTCAGCGCCAAAGGCGGAGACTGGAGCAATTATGGTCGAGATGGCAATCGCAACGGCTCCATCGGCCACACCTCCGACAAGGCCGCCATGCGCGAGAGACTCAGGCAAAAATGGCTACAACGGAAACAACAAATCGCCCAAAACTGTCGCTCTCAAAACCTTCAGCCTGGAAACCAACCGGGATGATGAGCTTATTGGGAGAACAGCGAGCTTACTGGGAGAAGAGCGAGCTTATTGGGAGGACCAGGAGAACCGGGAGGACTAGGAGAGCCGGAGCGAGCCGGAGAGGAAGACAAAACACCATTTTTTTGAGACTGACTTCGTGGCCGAATTGGCCCTTTTTTGGAGAACCGACATGAGGAACGACGCCGGCGACATAGTGGACCTTTATATTCCCAGGAAATGGTAAAGACACCCGCCCCCAAACCTAACCCTCCTTTATACTCTTATGCGCACTCCATCGTGTGCGCGCACAATAGTGTGTGTGTGCGCGGGCACCATCACCACATTCGTGTGCACTGTAACGTCACTCGTGCCCACGATTCTGTTGCAGTTCGGCATCCAATAAACTCATCCACTCCAAGGACCACGGCTCTGTCCAGATTAACATCGCTGATGTGGACGAAAACGGTGTCATCACCAACGAAGTGACCAGCATCGTCTTGAGCCGTGACATCCGTCGCGTGGGCGACGCCGATGCCAACGTGGCTGAGCTCTGCGCCCAGGCCGGCATCCGGTGTGTCGAAGAGCAGTAACTTTTTTCCCGAACTGCACTCATCACATTTGCTTTGGCTGCTTTTTTCAACCGAGACTCGAACGGGGACCGACTAACGGTGGGATCGACTGGGGGTGGGGACGAGGTCCGGATCAGACAGGATAGTGACCCGGGGAAAGGACATTTCTAGCACACGGGGAGTCATTGAAAACGAGAGCAGAATGACCGGCGGGCGAGTCCTGTTGATACTGGTATGCTTGGACCCAGGCACTCGAGTACAGCACAAACGTCCCTTCTGCTTCGATCCACCGATGCGTCTTTATAAGATTCTTGTCGGCGCCTCGCTTACTCCGCCACTAGTTCATGGGGCGTAACTCGTTTCCCTGTTAAGTGTTAGCTAGCAGCTCGCTCTTTCAGCTCGAGCGTCATCAAAATGACCCTTCGTAGAATGCTGGCGGTAGTCGCGCCTCTGCTGTAGAATTGGATTTAGCAGACGCTAGGTGTCCTACTGGAAGCTTTCCGTCCTGTTGCAAAAGCTTTCTGTGGCCGAGAGTACCGATCAGTAAAGGTCCGATCAGCGGAGGTCGCCCTGCCAGAACAAAGACGACCCCGGCTGTCGCTAGAGAGCGGCTCTCTGCGTCAGTATCTTTCGTGGCGGGGTCCTATTTTATTTGGGGGGCACTCAGCGAAGATGTGTCCAGCTACCTGCCACAGTTCAGCTATCTGTGATGACCCGCCTGCGCCTGAACCCCCCCTTGCGCCGCACTCCCTAGCGGCCGAGTCGGTGGCCCCGCAGACCGTGGCGGTCCAGTCTGTCGTGCCGCATCAGGGCCCGGGGGCGTTGATGACAACTGATGAGTGTCTTGCGGTCTTGCGAAAGCTGGTTTCCTACGTGCAGAAGTACGGTGCAGCGGCGGTGTCGACCGCCGCTCCGGTGCAACAACCACAGGCACCACCGGTGGTGGTTGTATGGGGCCCGGTTGAGTGGCAAGGGTTGCGCGAGTGCCCGAGGTATGGGATCGAGTTGGACGTGTGGTTCATGGAGTTCGAGGACCTAGTGGCGGGGCATGGCGTGCCCGAATGGGGGAGGTTCGAGGAGTTCATGCTGTGTCCGCGGGTCAGCTTGACGACTAAGGGCATGTTGCTAGAAGCGGGGCTCAAGACTTATGGAGACATCCGCCTGCACCTTCTGCGCAGTCGCGGCGCCGCATTCGCTACCGGCGTCTGGCGGCACAGGATCCATACCAGTACTTGCCTCGCTGGCACCAAGGCCAAGGTGGTCGTGGCTCAACTTGAGATCTGGCGCCGCCTCTACAACCGCGCGGCACAGGACGTTGGCGAGCCGCGGATGTCCGAGAACGAACTGCTGCTGCCCTGTGCGGCAGCTCTCTCTGAGGCCGATCGGCGGCAGGTCATGATAAACCTCAGGCGCCTCGCCGCCTCCGAAACTCCCCTGCACGACTTGCTGTCACTGGTCTGCCCTATGCTCTCTAGCCACGGCAGCGATTACTGCAACGCCGAGGACTCTTCCGCCGACGACTGCACTGCCGACGGCTCGCCAGAACTTGTTGCCTCTAAGACCCGGCCGAGACGTCCTCGACGTCGGCGCTGCGCCGGCTGCTGGGGGACCTGTCAAGTGCGGGCCACCTGTCCCGCATTTGGCCGCGTCTGCTTCTACTACCAGAAGTTCAACCACTTCAAGGTCGCTTGCCGAATGTTTCGACGGGACTGGTCAGGCTCGGGTAAATCGAACTTTCCGACGACCTAGGTCCTCTTAGCGTTCCGTACGTCGACCTGCGGAGGTTACTGGAGCGACCATAAAAACACGTCGTGATGAATGAAATGAAGAAATGGATTCGTCTGGTAAAATGGCAATTGACACCCACGGGAACGAAGTGGGAAAGAACGAACGTTTGATAGGGCAGCCATGGTGGCCTTGCCGGCCCTCACACCAGGTCGTAGACGCTGCTGATGGAACGTCTACGTCTGTGTCCGGCCGACAAGGACTTTCTTTGGAGGCTGCGCCTGGCGCTTCGCAGCCGGGCCACCCGCCTACGGTGTGACGCGTGCCGGCTAGCGGCACACGTGATGCGGTATGCCGCTAGCGCGGCAGTGGTGAGAACGGCAACAGCCGCGAGTCTGAAGGAACGGAAGATTATACTAGGTTCAGCGAGTAACCTGCCCGGCCCCCAGCCCCGGCTGCCTCACTGACCACACACTTACCCAAAGACACGGCTGTTGCCGAAGTGGCTGGACGCCACACCGTAGACCAGAATCTGCAGCCCGACCACGAAGGCCAGGCCACAGAACAGGAAGTAGGTGGGGAAGCCGAAGCTTCCCCACCCCGCACGAGGTGCCGCCACCCGCGGCCTTGACACAACGGACCAAAAGGCCGTCGTGCACAAGGCCACGGTGTGGCAGCGAACGTCTCGTGAAGTAATCTTTCGAGCAT